TGTATGTATGTATGTGTATGTGTGTATTTGTGTATGTATGTGTGTATGTATGTATGTATGTATGTATGTATGTATGTATATGTACGTGTGTATGTATGTGTGTATGTATGTACGTACGTACGTACGTACGCATGTATGTATGTATGTATGTATGTATGTATGTGTATGTATATGTATATGTATATGTATATGTATATGTATATGTATATGTATATGTACAGTATCACGAAAGCTAGCTCTGTGAAGCCTGCGGGAGTTGTTCTTTTCAGTACAAGCAGAGCGAAGTAGCGGTGACGCAGTCAAAATCGTGTCCAGGACTTTTGCTGTCCTTTCACAATGGCTTAAAGGGGGCAGGGGGGGGGCCTCCAGTTTGTTCATTGATGTTGCTTAATTTCTTCATGTTATGTATATGTTGCGCAGGTTTAGTATGTCGACCCGGCAGGATTCAAAGTGCATCTGTTGTTTACGTATGTTTAGGGTGTCGACCTGCAGATTCGAGTGCATCTGCGTGCCTGTGCCCACACTGCCGAGCATGCGAGCATTGACGCACGAGCTCTACTAGTAGAAGCTCTGCCTACTGTGTTTGCCCTAGCTTTCGTGGCCCTCGTGTCGAGTATGTAGAAATGGATTTTCCTACACTTATATTTTATATATGTAGCCATGACCACGCGTAAGCATGAACATATGTATGCGCAACGCCGATTCGTTTATCTGTACCCAAGGCGGACTTCGATGCAGAGGTGGCTCGGATAGCTGGCCCCAAGCAGCAGGTGGCTCCAGATGTCTTGCCGGCTTGGCAAGTTGACCAAGTTGTCAGTGCCTTGCAGGCTAACACAAGCCTGCCGGAGGCAGATGACATGGATGAGGCGCACCTGTCGTGGCAGTCAGCTGCAACTTTCTCATATTCGCAAGCTGGGGGATGTGCTATGCATTGCTGCCAGCAAGCACCACCAAAATCATTGTGGCATCGGAAGCCTTGTGTCCAAGTGCTTTGTACTGGCTTCTTGGTTGTGAGGTGGCATACGACATCACGGATAAGGCCACGGGTCCAACAGACCGCACGCTCATGAAGGATGCGCAGCCTGTAAAAGGTGCTTCCCCAGAAGTCGGTAGGAACTATCAACATGGTAGGGAGATTCAGCCAGAACTTGTATTTTGTTCCGGTTGCCCATCTCTCAAACGCATCTGCAGATCCTCAAAATGAAAGTCGCATGAGCATAGCCATGGCCTGAAGCTGCCATGGCTTCGGGTGCAGTGAATGCTCGCGAAGCTCTGTGGTGCTTCCTGGAATCCGCCAACGCTGCATGATCCCTTTGACGCCACTTTTGCACGCCCGTGTGTGGCAAGGGGCCTGATGCCGGAAGATGTCCAAACTGAAAGACACGTTCTGGCCTCGTCTTTCTTTGGGCACCCGTCAGGAAGTAAGTCCTTGCACTATTCCGACCATGTGGCGCCTGACTTTGCATCAACCCGAGCCTGCCATCCGGCTAGAAGATCTCAAGCCTTGTCCTTTTTCGAAGATGCATACCAGGCATCGTCGAACCAGCGCGTTCGAAACGACGAAAGCTTGCAGAGGGCAGAGGGACAGAAAAACGTGAAGTTGGAGGATTCGAATTCAGAAGACTCAAAGGTACCTGCCCCCGAGGAGGATGCGGAGGATCCCGCTGACGCTTACAAGACACAGGAGGAAAAATTGCTGAAGCGGATCCACGACGATGAAGAAGAAGTTGTCGAGCTGGTGGTCGCCCAGAAGGCAGCCGCGCAACACGAAGCACTAGCACAGCAGCATGCGCGAGCCGCTGCCGCGAGAAGGGCGGCTGCCCATGCTGGGGTTTCCCAAGATTCGATGGCTCATGCTGGGCACCGGAAAGCACACCACTTATCGCACAATGAGCGGATCTGCCGTAGGAGGAAAACTCCATTGGAATGTCAGGATTTGAAAGCACAGTGTGGATGGTTCGGTGACGAGGATACAGGCAGATGCCACCACAAGGCTCACGGGGAATGGCCTAGCGGCACCGACTTTCTGTTTCAGGTTGGAGAAGTTGCGCTACTAGAGTCGTTGGTCATAGCTACGGCTGTTGTGTCACGGCTGCGTGGCAGGGAATTCCTGCGACAGCATGCGGAGAATGCGAGCTATAATCTGCGATCATCCATGTGGTATTTTCCCACGGTGCTGATGTACGGCTTGGTAGGCCTGTACTACTACACGCGCACGATGGGCTGGGAGCCTCCCCAGACCGCCTACTTCTTGGTACAAATCGTGTCCACGGTTGGCGACAACGACATGACCCCCATTCAGCCTGTACCGAGACTATTCACTTTAATTCACATTCTGCTGGGTCTCGTTCTCGTCGGAGGTGCAGTCGGAGAAGAACTCGACGAAATCCTGCAGAGCCGCGTCAATCGGATGAGCACCGCTGTGGCACGAGGTGCAGATTTCCAAGACCTACTGCCGATCTTGTGGCGCGTGGCAGCTGAGGCCCGCGATGCTGCCGGCTCCAACGATCAACTTCAGAACATCATCGAAAGGCTTGAGAGTCTGCCTCAGCATCCGCGGGAGTCCCGTCCGACTCCGAACCAGCTTCGCTGGCTGCGGGAGGTTCGTGGCGGGGAGGTGGTGCTAGCTGAGCTTACCGGCACCGGTGCACTCATCCCATGGCCACAGCGATCTGCTCTGTGGACGGGAGCAGGCTGGCGGATCAAGGCTCTTCTCCCTCTCCTCCGCTACGTTCTGGAGAATCCCAGCGGGCCCATGCCTAGCTACGACCAGGAGAGCTTGGGCACCGAATCAAATCTTGGGTAGCATACGCCTGAGTAGGCCCACCCTTGAAGCTTCGTCCTTTTGCAGGAGGCTACCTTAGACATTCTGGCAGCTCGGCATGGGACGACCTGCAGCGGGACAAGGTTACGGTTAGCGTCTTGAGGCCCAAACTCCCCTCCCTCCTTCAGATGCTTTAAGAAGCTACATAAAATTAGCAGCGATGGTCTCGGCGAGAATAGGACTTAGGAACGGCACTTGCAACTTCGTTGGGATTCTTAGTGCACTTCGTCCGCCTTCGCGTGCGGGCTCCCGCCATTTGCCTCTGATCGACTGAGGAAGACGATGTCATGAAGCTCGGCAGAAAATGGGGCACTCGTATCAACTACCATCAACAGCGCTAGCGCTCCCCATAAAGTTATTGTTTTGACTTTCAACCCTCGACAAGCTATGACATCGTCAGCCATCACCACAAAGGCGCGTCTGTGATATGATAGTTCATGAGCGATCTCAGCACTTCTATTTACGATGCCAGAGGCGGTTCTGGGATCACAGCTGGGTGGAGCACGCGCACGGCCTGTCTTGACAGAGGGTCGAAGTCGACTTTCCGGACCCGGCATGACTTAGGTGCGGTGTCCTTGAGTCAGGGGGTGACGTTGAACCTTCCTGAGCGCGCTTCCGTTGAACAAGTCCCATGTTTCACACATTCATTGGAGATCCGAGATGATCAAACTGAAGTTCGCGGAATTCTGATTGAAGCTCCGAACACAGAAATCCATCGTCCCGACCTCCGACCCAGATGTTAATGCCGAGATTCGATCAGCACTTCACGACCCTGATCATCAAAAGCTCCGTGGACATCGGTGACTTGCTTGCAGCTTGTGTTCATAGGCTGGGTGCATGCAGCTTGGGAGGCTTTTGGCCACTGCCGCAAGAGTTCAAGACTGGCAGATTCTGTTTGCATGCCGCACTGAAGCCTTGTAGCTAGTTCAGGAGGCTCCCTCCGTGCCAGCCAAGGCACTGTCATTCTCTCCGGGACGCTTTTCTTTGGCATGGTCTCAAACTGGATCCGCGGCAAGTCTGCCTTCACCTTGTTCGATGGCCGCCTGGCAGCATGCTGCTGGGAGCTGCTGGGTTCTTGGGCCCCAGAGAGAGGAGGTCCAAGGCAGGTAATTTTGTTTGTACATGGGTGGCGGGACTGTTGGGCCCTGCCGGAGCTACTGGCTTCAGGTTTGTTCTTCTCCGTTGCCAGCGCATCTTCGGTGGGCTCGCTTGCCCCTCAGATTCTGAAGAGAGGGCACATCAGGTCTCCACAGCACCGGAGCAGGTCCGGAGATGCATTTACTTCAACGGCCATCGAGAAGGACTGCAGCTGTACTTTTTGTCCATCCTTGTCCCAAGAAGCACTGAGACGCGTTTGCTGCCTCACATCGTGGCATGCTTCGACACGTGCAGGCCGCCAGTTGTCTCCTCTTCATCTGTGGGAGCTACAGCTGCTCGCTCATCTTCAGAGTTGAGATACTGTGTTGGCTTGCCAGAAAGACGTGCCGAGGCTTCAACCGCTTCACCATGTTCATGTCTGAGGCCGAAGTGCTGGCGTTCGCCACCAGCCCACCTGTCATGGAAGTTGCGGGTCAAGCCTTCTGACATGGAAGATGATGGAAGTAGAAGCACTCTGCATCTGCTACTGATTGTATCTGCCACGCTTTTGGCTTGTCCCTGAAGGTGATGGCCTTCAAGGCACGCTCTTCTGCCTGAACCCTGCGATAGTCACATAGCTCTGACCGGTGGGCGTAGCATGTCTACGTGTTTGAAGAGGTTCCTTTTTAACTTCAGCAGTAGCAACGGCAGAACGCAAGACTGACAGTGAGGTCAACAACAACAGCTACTTTCTGCTATAGAGAGCGGATCATGGGTTCGTGGATATGATTCTGCTGCCCTCCATGTCTTCAATGTACGGCTGACCGAAGTGAGTACGTTGAGTCTTGCTTGTAGCCAGCCTTTATTGATGTTGGTACCAGCTTTTTCACTGGCATGGAGCACACTTGGCAACTCCCAGAACTGTGATTGACCCAAGTCTGCAAGCCCTGAACGTGAACGCCCTTAACCCTGAACCACAAAATCTGAGGAACCCCCAAGCAGTCAGCCCTAAAGTAAACATCTGTTCAGCTTTCGTGTCCGGGCGCAGGTGGAGAACTCACAAACCTTGCTGGCCGCACTGCCACCAGGAGCGGGCTGCCGTACTGTGCCGACAGTGAGTCACGAAAGCAAGCAAAGCAAGGGGGTCGGACATTGGCCGGGGGTCTATTGACTGTATCGCGGGTCGGCTCGGGGGGACTATTTAGCTCTGAGGCGGGTGAATAGTGATCGGTTCAAGGCAACCCCGTTTCTGGGACGACGGGTGTGGGGATTGTCAACTGAGAAAAACCCGCGAGAACAACAACACTCCGACACATGACCATGCACAAACCACGGAATCCGTTTACCGCGGTATTTACGGTGTTTTCCGTGGTCAGCATTCGGAGATACTAGTTTGTGTTTGGTGTGTTGTGCCTGGCCTTTTTCGGAAATAGATTCTTCTCGACGCTAGGCTTGGCCTTGCACAGAGCCCCGAAGCCTGAGATCTGAAAGCTTCCACAAACACAGCTTCCAGGCTGCCTTGCAAGCAAGAAAAGAGAAATGAAAGCTGGCATCGCGCAAATGACAGAGCTAGCGGAGTGTCGAGTTCAATACCTTTTGCCACTTCTTCGCATCTCTAACAAGAAGGAACAGACAAGAATTCACGGTTATATACATGTGTAATATTTATGTATATATACATAGAATACATATATATATATACACATACATACACACATGTATAGTTGCATGCATGCATGCATGCATGCATGCATGCACAGAGAGAGACACCGACATGCATGTATGCATACATAGTCACACATACATACGTTACATTAGGTGTGTCTTTGTGTGACTACAAGATCCTGCCGCTTTCTGGTGGGTTTAGCTCCTAACAACTGTTGTCGGCTTCGTCGCAGCCGTTGCCAAGGTTCACTTGGTCGTCGTTGCCTTCACCGTTTTCATTGGTTTTCGCTGTCGTGGTCGATTCTGTGGTCGTTGTCGTATAACAGGCGCTCTGGACTTGGTGAAGATAACGAAAGTAGTACTAGTAAGAAGAGGAGAATGATAGTAAGCATATGAATAAGACCAATGTAATGGTACTGGATTTGGTGAAGATAACAATAATATTCGGCAAGTAGTATTAATAAGAAGTGGAGAATGATAGTAAGCATATGAATAAGACCAACGTAATGGTAAGAATAACCATGCGACTAATGGGAATACTAGTTTCAGTAATAACATACTAGTAACTGCAATCAGAAGTAGCCGCCTCGTTACTCAGTCCCTTCATGCAAGCAAGCTGTTGGAGGCTTCAGCCAGACCTTGCACCGGCTACGAAAGGGTTCCGGAGGGCAGGCTCCATGGTTTAATCCCTCCATGGAACTTGGAGTTCAGGGCTCTTGGGCTTGTGTGTGGGTTGGTGATGTGAAGTGCGCAGGCGGAAGTCTCAGCTGAGGAGAGGAGGTTGTACTTCACTTACCGTTGCAAATGTTGACGGGCTTTTCTGGCATTCTACCCTCAATGCTCTAGACAATGCACCTGGTTTGCAATACATCTTCGTCCTGCCCCAACAGCGGCAATTGCAAGCTGCAAGCGTTGCCTTGCTGCTTGGTCGATCGCACCTGACTTGTAATGACAGTGAGAAGTTTTCTCGACGCCTGCTGCACTTCCAGATCCCACGGTGCTGTATTGATTTGAACTTTGAAGTTTCGGAACCTTTCGCAGACTTCAATTTGCCTGTACTTAGATAGCAAATTACGACGCGTCTCTTTACTTGTCGGCTCCTTGCTGTTGGCAGCCCAACGCTGCACATGCCCGACACCTCCAGGCAGATGCGGCCTTCGCCATGGAGGTACCGCGGCCACCCCGACCTCCTGCGGAGGAGCGGGCTCCGCCCGACGCTCCCTGGCTTTGAGGATTTCGGTGTCACGGAGGACCAGGACCAGGATTTGCTCAGAGTAAACGGCACTGCTTGCAATGAGGGGGTCACGCGAGCCTCAATGAGAAATTAGCGCGTTCTTCCTTTTAGGGTTATCAGGAGAGCAGAACAAAACAGGCCTTGTGGGTTGGTGTGGGCCGAATTGAGCTGCACATGATGGACTGTCTGAACAGATGCACAGTGTCTGCCATGCAGCAGAGCATCAAGGTGCACGGGGTCAGCCGGGATTTCGGGGTGAGGCTTTGCGCAGGCTGTTATCATTGCATCTTTTGCAAAGCTCCAGTGTAGCACAACTTCTAACGCACCCCGCCCGGGCACGACGACATCCGTGGCCTCCATCTTCTCCACGACATCCGGGGAAGACCAGACCTGTGCACAGGGCTCACTTTCACTGCGCCAAGCACAGCGATAATTCGATAGGTGACCATCGTGAAGGATCAGATTCACGTTGGTTTTTTCAATGTTTCTGATGCACAGTCCCCATCTCTACCAGTGAGCAATCTGAAATTGCAACAAATGCAGCTAAGATGACCGGTCGGTTCGTGGATGTCCGGCTTCAGGTACCTCATTGGCCAGTGCTTCTACGGTCATGACCAGCAGCAATCACCATAAGTCCAATTCAATCATACTAAATCTCAGGCGTAAGCTGCTAAGGGATTTTCGGAGTCCCTGGCCCGATGCTTCGCTCCGTCTCGTCGACTTCTCCCGTGAAAGGGGCGCGTCAGCTGAGGATCTGCCGCCTGCAGCTAGCAGTGCGTCTCCGTCCAGGCCAAGCCGAGAGCAGTGCTGCTTACATATCATGTATGTATATGAATACTATATGCATATGTATATACATACATATTGTGTACAGTTAATATATACAAGTATGTTTATAGTTGTATACGTGTACATGCGAGCATGTGCTGTAAAATGATGGATAGCGGAAGCAGTAGTAAGTTTCAGGCAACATGCATTGCAAACCTTGATGAAGTCTCCCGTGCGTCAGGTCGAGAACCGTTAATAAAATCGAGCACGTGCAGCTTTCATCACCATTCCTGGCATCTCGCGAAGAGCCGGGATGCCGGAAACAAGCGCACCTGCTAAAAACTGCCTGCAAATGCTGCCGGCCCTTCTCTTGGAGGAGGCTATTGAATTGTAGCTACTGTACCTGTTGTGCGTATGGTGCTCGTACGACCCATCCTCGCACGATCCCACCCCGATGGAAGATCTGACGGCATATGTAAGTGTCCCGAAAGTACGGAGTAGGGCCCAACATCCGAGAGTCACAGTAGGTCGCACTCTCGGGCGGCAGTGAAGCAGCAGCTATGACAGTTGAGAGCAGAATCCAACTAATGCGGCCCCAACTCAAAAACACAACCCCCTAACAGGTGTATGTCCATACTGTATATCTATATCTATATCTATAT